TAAGCTAGGCGCCCTAGTTTGCGGCCACCCCTAGTTTGCGGCCACCGTGCGCGAAGGCGCGCCCTCCGCTCAACACGCGATAACTCAACAACAGCGCTTATATTTGAAACTGTGTACACATAGATGCTAGGGTATGAGCTGCAGCTTGAGCTGCAGCAGCTTTTGCAGCCTTCTCAGTCTTCTTTGTTGATGCCTGCTCAGCTTGAGCTGCTGCTTTATCTATAGCAGCTTTAATACTCTTAGCATTGCTAAAGCGCTCATTTGGATTAACTCTAATTCTCTTTCTTGTCTCTGTACCCTGGAGTTGATCTAGTTGATGTTTCAAGCATTGAACCTTTGCCTCTAGTTGAGCTGAGTACGCACTTGACAAGGAGATAGCCTTGCCTACCTTGCCTAGCACTAGACGTGTGCTCCGAGAGAGGGGTTCTGACTGTAGGAGCTGCTGTTGAGCTTGATATACATCCTGAGCTCTCTTCGGGGTTGAGAAGAGTAGATCTGTAGAAGATTGTTGCTGTGTAGGTGGTGGAGGAGTGATTGGACGTGCAGAAACCTGAGAGGAGTGAATGACTACACTAGGGTTGTATGGGCATATGCCTGTAGCTCTCCAACCAGCTCGAATCACACGCTCAGACAGGCCTATCTCTCGCGCATGATAGTATGATGATATAAAGCGCTCCTTCTTGACAGGAGCTGCATCATTAAGAGCAGACAGAGCTCTAATCTCAGCTCTATATCCTGACTTAAGTACGCTAAAAGGAGCTAGGTCCAGAGGCTGCAGGACATGAGAGGCGTGAGGAGGGAGATACAGAGTCCATATTCTGTGCTGACGGCAGAGTAGCATGAACTCAATATCGACGTGAGACCCGTGGCCATCAAGTATAAGTATCCTCCATCGATTTCCATTAGGCTGAGTCTCTAGGATAAATATACTCCTTAGCCACTCAGATCCTATCTTATGCGAGGTCCATCCGTTCTTAGAGGTAGTATATAACCAGTCTAGCACTAATCTGGATAGAAACCACGTTGTTTGTAGGCTCTGTCCCTTGAAGATCACCATACACCTAAGTTTGCGCCCAGCCGCTGAGACTGTCTCAAGGATTGATACCCACTCACGATCGCCTGGAGTTTTCACGTAAGCCTTACGCTTGCCAGCTCGTGCGATCACCTGAGAGTTTGTACATACTCCTAGTGCGATGCCAGTCTCATCCATATTCCATATATCCTCCACCCGTATATTAAGCTCAATCCGAGTCCTGTGGAAGAGCTCAAGGAACGCTAGGATCTGATCAGGAGTCGCAGCCTCGGCCCTCGAGGCCTCAATCGATCGTCCGACAATGCTTGCAACTCGAGGTTGACGGGTGAGGAAGGAGGATATCCATCGCTGGCCGAGAGGCTCGTGGTCGCCGCCGAGCTTTAATATCCGAGTCGCCATCTCACGTACACGCGCATGAGATGGAGGTAGAGATCGCGCATCCTCCTCAAGTATCCAATCAACTATAAAACTCTCTTGTTCTGGGGTTAATCGCTGCTGTTGCTGGTGAGCTATCGCGTGTGGAACGCTGCCCTGCAGCCTGCGCTGAATTGAGGTTCGAGGAACTGCCCAGGCCTTAGCAGCTGCCCTCTGACTTGTAAAAACACCTGATTCGAGATCGCGAATGGCGCCTTGTAGAGCCTCCTCATGAGGATCCATATTGAGTACGGCGTTGTTGAGTTATCGCGTGTTGAGCGGAGGGCGCGCCTTCGCGCACGGTGGCCGCAAACTAGGGGTGGCCGCAAACTAGGG